AATTAAATCACCAAAAAAAAACAAAACTTAAATAATGGTGCTCGCTCATAGTTGGAGATTAAATAAGATGAAATAGGAACTATTAAAGAAAGTTGGACAAATAACTCCACTGTAAATATGAACATCATTAACTTGCTACTCACCACTGTCTTCGTCATCACTTAGTGCGGTTTTTGCAAGAAGACAATCACCCATTTCCTGTAATGATTCCGAGAATTCTGAAATAGATGGTCAGAATTAGAAGATGTAAGAATTCCATCATGAGGGGAAGACAATGAAAGGAATTTGCAGGAAGCCATGGTGGCATAAAAACCCATCATATTTTTAAGAACCAAATAAGAGAGAAGTGCTTCTAAACGATAGGTAAAAGGAACAATACAATAACGTTAAACCAGTAGCACCATACTGAAATTTTCAATGTTCCTAGTAACATTAAGATTTAGGTAGTTGTGCAGAAAACAAACAAAACAGAAGTTAGACTTCAACAATTTCAGATGTTCCTGGATCAGGCTATCTGCTATGTAAGGCACCTATTAGATCAGCAGGACTCAACACAAAATACACAGTAACCCTTGCTTCCACCAATATTTTTGGCTTCACACTGAACTAAGATATTAAATAATTGGAATGACGATCATAAATCTGGATAACTAGGGCCCTAGGCTGCATATAAAACATCTTTCCTTGACTTACGAGCTAACAGGGGCATGAACAAGTTAACAGTTGTAAATTTTCCAACTAAACTAGCAAGAGAAGTTTGAGAATTAGCCTGAACTAGCCTAGTCTATCATCAACTAGCACTCTAAGGAGGCTAGTTTTTGTTTTATCATTAGATTCCAATTGATTAGTTTGTCAAATCACAACGCAAATAAGAACATCAACCTTCAAGGCGAAAATTTCATTTGTTCAGAATTTATAAAGGAGCAACGATTAAATACCGTATGCATTGTTCGTGGTGCCTGCTGCAGCCGATAGTAAACTGTCATAGCAATCTCTCATGTCTTGCATATCCTGAAAAAATGAACGAAATTCACGATTAGCATGCGAATATAATAGATACCACAACCAAATATTTTGTACATGAAACTCCATCCCATTCCATTCAACTTCTAGTACGAAGAACTGACCTATCAGTTGCCTATCAATCAAAATTAAGCTCCGAATAAGATTTCATTCAGTTAGAAAAACAGAAGTAGGAATTAACGCCTAAAACAACAACGAATCACACGAAATTACATTCCGTTGAAAACGCAACTTCATAAATAACTCCGAACAAGAATTGATTCAATTAGAAAAACATATGTACGAATTAACGCCTAAAACAACAATGAATCATACCAATTGCATTACGTTGGAAACACGTCAGAATTTCAAAATTCTAAAACAAAATCTCCAGATGATATTTTGCTGATAAATTGAGAATTCATAATAACAGGTAAAAAAACAAAAGAATTAAAAGTTTAAAACCTGAGAAGCCTGAGAGAGCTCATCTAATTGAGCTAGAGATCGTTGAATAGCTTGGCGGTCACGTTTATTGTCCCTGTGTAGCCCCAGTCCACGCACTTTTATGAAGGGAGTCTTCATCGTCGTTTTGATTCAAGTTTCTCCAATCAAGAAGCTTTGCCGATTGAAGAATGTTTTCCAACAGAATTCAGTATAAGCTATGAATAGAAAAATGAAGAACAACAATTGTAGATTGAAATATCAAAGGGAAGGGGGTCAATGCAATGTTTGTGGTATGTGTATTATCGTCGTCTCTCTCTCTCTCTTGAAAGGGGGGAAGACGAGAAGAATCTGGTTTATGTTGTCAAATCACTACTCCCCTTCCTTCCCGTTCCAAAACTTATATTACACTAAATTACGTTTTTAGTCCTTATGATTTGTTGAACATTACGGTTTTTGACCCTATCATTTTGAAATTATGTCTTCGTCCCTGTACTTTGTAATTAGGCAACTAGTTGTGCCATGTCGGGAGCGTTGGCTGTCTTATATAGAAATCGTCGATAATACAAAGCATATTGGTAGCTTGACGAAACCCGTTAAGTTGGTTATTAGATTACAAGAGGCTTAATTATTTGAGAACACCTTATATTGTGATAACCGTAAGAATTTTTACCCTAAAATATTGTTTCGCATGATTTTTTTTTTCATACAAGACTTGCATTTAATATATTGAAAGAACATATATTTGTTTCACAACGTGTTTGATTTATATATATTTGGTTCATAATATGAAACTTTTTTACGTGTAGACATTTGTTTCACAAACAAACTAAAAATGTCTGCATTGTGAAACTAATATATGTTGATCTTCCGATTTCTAATCTTAGATGAAAAAATCATATGAATTGACATAAGTTCTCAAGGTTATCACAATTACATGAGTTATCAAAAGAAAATCCCCCTGAATACAAATATAGAAGAATAGCGAATATTCAAATTGGAAGTTATCATGTAGATTATGTATTCATGTGTAACACCCGAATAAAAGATTTAAAAGCTAAACTAAGAAAGCTTAACAAGAACTTAAATTTGAGCAATAAAATAAGTTTCACCGCAAGGGTAACAGTAATGCGATTACAAAAGAAATTCAGATGACGAGATGATAATTAACAACCTACTAATCTAGATTATTCTATCTAGATTAAAGACGGGTGTTCCCATCAATCTCCAAAAATATCGAAATAACAAGATGCGACGCTAAAAGATACAAGGCTATATCTACAAAAGAGCCTTTCACAAATCAGCGCTCCTCTCAACCCTTAAGAACCCCGTCGCTAAAAGGAACCTGATAAACCAGCCACGTCAAGAAGAAGTGTTAGGCTTACGCCTAGTGAGTCCAACCATTAAAATCAAAGTAAATAACAAACAAGAATATGTTTGAATATATATATATATATATATATTCATATCTATATGGAACGTAACCCCGAACGATACAAAATGAACACTATGCTTAAAAAAACTCAAGGCGAGACTAAAACATCCGAATATGACGGGGGAGACCCGATTTACCGCTAATCATGACGGAACACAAAGTAAGTCATAGATCAACGTTATAGAGCGCCACTTGCAGGTTTAGAACCATCGACATCAACCTAAACCAGTATATAGTCGAACGTGATCATAAGCTCTTTATCTCGAAAATTACATAATAATCTCAATGCCTATTTCCGAGTGAAAGTGAGAAGGTGGTTTGGAAATCACATAATAATCATAATGCCCAAATCCAACTTATACCATCCTTCACACATATACAAGAAACACCTTCAAGTTTAAAAACTTAGTACATAACAAACATATACTTAAATTCAGTACCTTAAACATAATGATACATATTCCACATTAAGATCTTGCACGTGCCCTTAACTGAACGGAATATCCCTATTTTGCAATTACGAGTCTTATGGTCTTAACTATTCTAAATAAGTATTCTTAACAAGTAACTAAGACCATCTTCCCACACTTCTCTTATCAATATAAACGGGACTYCTAAACTAATTCATTTATCTAAAGGAAATCTCTAATTCCTACCGAGCAAGCGATTTCACCAATAACATAGGAGGTAACATTGTRTCATTTCACATGTATAAGGTTCTATTTGAAAGGTATAATGGACTCACTTGCTGCTGATCGGGACWGTCGGAACGAGGMAAACAGGCAGCAAGGCTRCTGTTTTCTGTTGCTAAAGATGTTGATGCTGACGAAACGAAKAACAAAACAGCAGGGCTGCTGTTGGTGTTGATGCTGTCGAACAAAGAACCAAGCAGCAAGGCTGTTTGCTGCTGCCTCTTGCTGCCGACGATGGTGAAAACACAGCAGAGCAGCACGGTTTGAGCTGCCGTTTGCTGCTGCCGATGAAGGTGAAAACACAGCAGAGCAACACACTTTGAGCTGCTGTTTTCTGCTGCCGTTTGCTGCTGCCGATGAAGGTGAAAACACAGCAGAGCAACACACTTTGAGCTGCTGTTTGCTGCTGCCTCTTGCTGCCGACGATGTTGGTGCCGAGGTGTGGAGGACGAAGAGTCCCGCAGCTGCTGTCTTCACAGCACTGCTGCTGCTGTTTGAAAGAGCGAGGGGACAGAAGGGGCTGCACGGAACAGTTGCATTCGGAGCTGTAACAATGGCCGGAGCGCCGGCGGACAAGGTTAGAGGCGCGGTAAGCAGCAGTACAGGCAAGGAGGCGATGGTGCAAAAGAATTTTATGGAAGAAGCTAGAACTGAGGTTTCTTGCGGTGGTAGTGAGTTATGGGGTTTTGAGACCATGCTTCCTCTCTGACTTCATTCATGACAACACACTAAAAGGTAAGGACTTCCAAACTAAGGTGAGGTGTCAAACTAAGAATGGTTGGTTAGGTTATGGGTCATAGAACATCAGATAATACCCCCCCCCCCATTTTTTTTTTTTTTTTTTCAAATATCCTCAAGCCTAAGGCAAGTAAAAATGTAAATGTAAAAGTGAAGGATCTCCCTTAGATTTAGACTAGATACGCAACTGAAAATGCTAAATTTCAGCTATAAAAACTACATATATATATGAGTTCAAGAATATTAGAAAATAAAAGAATACCTCGTAACGGAACGAGAGGAAATTTGACGCGAAAGATGCAATTGGAGACGAAGGGGAAGAAATTTCAGGGTGTTACATCATGCCCATTCAAAATATGGATCGTAGCATTCATTCTTTATTTTCATCCCTCAGGCTAATTATTATCCTTCTAAGTAGGAGATAGAAAACAGAGAATTCAATCGGTATGGTTGAAGGCAATCAACTGCCTGACTTCTGTAAATTCGTAGTGAGAAAAACATAAACGAATTGTAAAGCACAACGATGAAAACAACGGCACAAGCGATCATTTCTTACAAAGTCTTACAATGGGTGTGAGCTTAACAACCCTCATGCCATGCCCAAGCCCAAGCCCTTACCTTCGCCATATACCGAAAGATATTAGTTCATTGCTCAATTACCACTTGATCCCCTAAGTAAAGGAATTTATCTCAGGTGCCAATAACTTGTAAATAATACTGATAAAAATAACAATAAATTATAAAGTATGAGGATGAAAATTGTAATTTCAAAAATACAAAAATAAAAATAACAATTTTCAGTAAAGCATAGGAAGAGAAAATACGTAATTTTAGCAACTTCTGTTTACTTTTAACTCATTTTATTCAAGGAAAAGTCCAAAAAAAACCTAATAAACTTTCTCATTTTAAATGGTTTAATTCGTGAATGAAAAAAACCATTAAACGTTCTCATTTTGAATAATTAAGTCCATGAACTATTTTTTTTAAATGAAGATCATAAGCTTTCACATTTTAAATGACCAAAACCTTGGTTTAAAAAATAAATAAATAAATAAACTATCGAACTCTTGTTAGTAGGTTAATGTAACATTTTTGGGTTAAAATGATGTAAGTAACTAATTTTTAAAATTATGATGGTTTATTTATTAAAAAAAATCTCATAAACTTAATCAATCAAAATAGAAAGTTTAATGATTTTTCATTTAAGAAAAAAAAATTATTTGTCTTTTAATTCAAAAACTAATTCATCAACTTAACAATTTTTAAAATGGAAAAGATTGTTTGGATTTTTTTAACTTTTCTTTTAATTAATATATTTTTACATAAAATAACAATATTTAAAAATTTTCATTTCCTGATAATAAATTTTTATACTTTAAATATTATATAAAATCATATTTTTTTTATGGTTAAACGTATTATAGTGGTTTTTCTGTTACTAAAAATAAATAAGAATTGCATTCGCAAAATATATTAAAAAAAATGTTTGTTTCTTTTCTTTATTAGGGGGCGTTAAAGGTATTTTTTTTAATAACCAACGATCGTTATGAAATTATGTAACCGTTTGACTATTGTATATTTTGGTCAAATAAAGTAAAACAATATTCTTTTAGATTATTTCATAGAAAATACGTTACAGTGTTTTTTCTTTCATTATTTTAATCTACATTGTTATCAAATTAAGAAATTGTATTAAATTGTGTGAAATTAAATATTAGATTTATTTATTTATATTTAATGGAACAAAGTTGTAGGTGAATAGTCCTATGAGAAGAAGAGTTAAGGTGCAAAGCGTGTGAAGGGATCTAGACT